CTTACCAGAATCGCGCAAATTAGCTAGCGAGCTAGGTCACCAACGCGAGAATAGGTTTTCAATACATGAACCTAAGCTCGTCTCTCCTCAACACACTCGAAGTTGATAAATCGTATAGTGGTTACTCTTCGTCTCAGGTCATCATATAGAATCTCATAGGCTTTGCAGTTCTTCTTCCTCGGATAAGGTATTATCTTCCCCCCCCCCCCCGTCCCCATACCACTCACCTTCATACATCTTAGTGCAGGTGACGTCATCGGGGATGATGCCAAGAACTTGTGGGTGAGTTGCGCGTGCATTTGCTGAGGGTCTGCGCTGCAACCCGCATTATTCTTCGAGACCGAGGAAGATACACCGGTCTCTGGCATTTAATCAACTTCAAACACTCCCCTCGCTTCAGGGGCCGGAGAAGACGAAGCACTTGAGCTGCCTGCTGGGTTGCGTGAAGCCGTTGACACGGGAGTGGGTTCAGGAAATTCGAACCACGGTGCCCAGCGGAAGAAGACCCATGTACAGTTGCCTTTGCCCTGATGAAACAAACTTTACCAAGTGACCCGTGGCAGCTACGGCTTCAGACGGTCATCTCTGAGCGCTCGAAAGCTCAGCGCTACGCTACTGGGTCCCACCGCAACGGCAACACCATCTTCACAGATGGATCAGTATGGTATTGCTAAGACATCAAGACCGGTGGTAGTGTATCGTAAGGATTTGGAAGTGAAGGCTGATTGCTGGAAGCTTGCAACTTACGCTACTATTATGGAATGTGAACTGCTCGGCGTTCTTCAAGCGGTTCGCTATATTAGAGATATGCATACCTTGTTTCGGGTGAAAACTGGGGGATCTTTACGGACTCTCAAGCGGTGCTCAAGGTCCTGTCATCGCGCTGAGCATCCACGAAGTTGGATAAAGCAAGACAAATCATTCTGCTCTTAGTCGGGCCCTCGAAGAGCGTGACTCTCAGCTAGGGTCCCGGACACACTGGCATGTTTGCCAATGACCGGGCCGACGATTTGGCAACCACTCCATGAGCTTATCCGGAGCTGATCTTAACCATTTGATGTATGATCATAGGGAGGGTACGGAGCTCATAAGATAAGAATTTGTAGAGCTTTCGAATGGTATAGAGCTCACACTATAAGCTTCAAGGATAAAATAGGGTGTACAAGTCCCGAGAACTCAACGTTCATTGAAGACGTGACGGAGACTAGTGAGTGTTTGAAACACTGAGATAACATCTATTCATGAGATCTAAGAACCCTGGTGGTCATGCTCCTGATTACAGCGTAATATCAGATACCATCTCAAGCGATAGCTAGAAGCAACGAGCTATAGATATTGAATTTTTATTTTGACATGTAGTTGTTCCCTCAGGAAACTTTCCTGGGATCCTGTGCCGCATGGAGTACCCGATTGTCATTGATATTGTGTGGTTTATCTTCAGCGGTAATACTCGACAACGTCAAGTCGACGTTCCGAGTGTATCAATGCCACAGTGAACTGGTTCGAATCGAAAGATAAAATAACGAAACGATTTGTCTCATCAATTTATTGCTGCACAAAGACTTCGTATGCTAGAAGTAACAAATGCACTACACAAAGATACGGGGAGACGGAACCCTTGCCAGGAACACACCGACTGTCCTTGGATGGCCGAACGGAACCGATTTACACAGCGACGATGTAGTTCTTAGAAGCTGCAGTCCAGCTGCTGGACTTACCACTGGCCAATACTCGGGCGGAATAATGTTCGTCTTAGTAAACCCGGGTTTGTTGTCGATGAGCTATACCGAGCAATCGTGGCTCAAGTTGTGGTGATACGTTCATAGCCTAGCGGTCCAGAGTAATACCTTACATGAGGGAAGGTTATGGTGTTGGTGGAGATGAGTCGTGATTAACGTACAAGTTGTGCGGCACAAAGCACTGCTTTCTCGAATGGCTCGCGGGCATGATTCGAGCTGTTGTTAGCGTCGATCTTTATGGATCATAAGGAATGGAACGATGTTTTAAGAATGCCGTCACCATAAGCTATGGTGCCGGCGTTTTTAAAATACATTAAATCTGAATGCATCGTTCCTTCTCCGGTTTGTAATCTCTATTAGTGATTCACTAATATCCGCTTACCAAAGTACACGTTTTCGACCCCCCAGTCGAACAGAACATCATGACGGAGAACCAAGCGGAGTCAAACAGATACCAACGAGTTCTTTTTTATGTACTGGCAACTGTTGCAAAAGACTCAGTCCGACAGACACTTCATACATAACCATCAATCTGTCTTAGACCAGCGTAGTTGATTGCATTCACGTTCCTACTGCAAGCTGTTGTAGTAACATCCAAACACACACTGACCTAGTTACCAATGTGGCACACTGGGTGCGCGGCAGCCCGCCAGAATCGCAATGATTCTCGTTATCTATTCTCTAGGAGAGAATCTCTTCAAAAAGTCGGTCCTTCTAGGAAATCTTCAAGCTCGCCGGAACAAATTGACTGTGAAGTTACCAAAGCTGGGAACAACTGAGCTCTCACGTTCTCAGCACTGCAGTTCATGCGTGCTACGCGACGCTGATGACATTTCTTGATAAAATCATCGAGAACAACACGAACAGCTCGAACTTCAGGCCTTGAAGCGCAGGGCTTATGGTTTTCGCCTGTGGCCTCCTTCGGAAGTGCTTCCCGATCAGTGGTGTCCAACGTAGACTTGTGATTGCGAAGCCGTATTACCGCATGTCAATGATATATCGTTCATTCATCACAATCACCTGTATCTGGTCCTTTTATGAGAACTCAACCCTGGCCATAAAACAAGCCAAAAGCATATTCGACGACCTCAAGGCTCACAGAGGTGCGACTGAGTTCACCATGTCGACAGCCCATTGGAGGGCTGTCAACAACAACTACAACAACTCCCCATCTTCAGGATTGGTTTATACTCCGGCAGAAGAAGCCCAGCATTTCGCTCGTTTCGAGGAGAAGTTGAGGATCCAGTCCGAGCTCATCTCGACTGAAGATTTGACGGTCCTCTACGATGAGACCAGACCGGCCATCATGCAGAGCCTCGTTGACGAGATCAATTCCAAGCAAAACACATGGACCGCGTCGACTGGGCAAAAAAGATTCAAGAGTAGCTCTACTTCCCAAGTGTTTGTCGAAGCATCTCTCTTCTTTTCCTCAGACCTCTCCCTGCGTGATGCTAAAGTGCTATGTGGAACACTGATGAGAGGGTCAAACGACAAAGCCATAAGAAAAGGCTATGCTATAGAGGAGCTACAAGACCTCCCCACTGACTTCGACGCTCGCACCGCCTTTCCCAATTGCTCAAAGGTTATCGGCCATATCACGTAGCTAACTGGCGACTGTGTGAGAAAATGCTGCCTCGAACTCCAGAGACCAGTCAGCTTGTGGAAGCTGTTGGGCATTCGTGTCACTGAGCCTTCAATGACCGCCTATGTATCAAGTCGCATGGGACGTTCACGGAGCTCCTATCGGCCGGCGAGATGATGCTTGTGCGCCGTGAGTCGAGGAT